AATTGAATAATTTTGGTACCATTGGATTCCTCTCATTGAGACGAATCTAATGGTACCAAATTTATCTAATTTGGATTGCTGTGTCACAAGATAATCAAGGTTTTGCAAAAATTTATATATAAATATACAGATTTTTAAATTTTTTTTATATAGTCTGGGGGGGTTACTATGTGGGGGTACATAACGTTATTTATGGATGCCCCCTTACAGAAAGGAGCTCGAGTTATGTTTTTAAATAACAAATTATCGAACTTATAACTAAGCTAATAGATAACAATATCGAGATTATATTTCCTACTTATAAAGGTATAAACAAAGTAACTGTTCAAAAAGAAACAACTTATTTCACAATTGATGAAAAACCTACCTCCAGACAACAATTTTTTTTCCAGAATGCTTTTGCTCTTACAACTCATAAAGTTTAGAGATTAACTCTTCTCTACATCACTACTAGCATTAATGAAATCATATTCGCTGATGGTCAGGTTTATGTTACAATGAGCCGAGCTACATTTTGAAAAAACCTTCAAATCTTACAATTTGATTATAATTATCTAAAATGTCCAACTGCTGCTTTAAGAGAATATGAAAAACTATTATTAATACATACGCGAGGTTTAAATACCTTTCAATAACCCTATTTTTTTCTTTTACTTCCACAACCAACTATAATCCTAAACATTATCTGTATCTCTATCATAAACATATCTATACCAAACCCATAAATTTTAACTACTTAGACACCCTATCTTCTCAAAAATCAAACACCTTGCTTTCTCTGCCTATTTGAAAACAAATTTAACTTACTAACTATAAAGCCGAGATAGAGTTTGAAACCAGTTTTATTTTTCATATGATAAAATCGATTAAAACCGGTTTTAACATATCAAAAATAAAACCGGTTCTAAACTCTAAGCCAAAAAATACGATGCCGATCATTACGTAATATTACATACACCATACCTAACGTGACTTTACCTATTATTAAAATATTTATCACCATCAATAAAGAAACAATTTCCGAATTTCCATTTTCACCCTATCGTATTAACAATATTCATCATATTTGTATAAATCCACCTTCAATATCGCAAGACTCACTGGATTTGCGCGACGGTTTACCTTGTTGCTATGTATAATGCTTTAGACGTCCCCCTTATATAGTAAGTGGAATGCCGTGTGCTCCATTTCTTGAGAAAAAACCTTGTAGTAAACGATTGAAAAATACTCATATCTCATGATCTATCTAATGATTTTACCACCATTAGAATCAGAAAAATTAGCTCTACAACTTTTATTATAAGCTAAAAGAAGGTTTACTTAATAAAAAAAATACTTTTATATGTAAACAAGCCCCATTCCTATACTATAGAAAAACGTATGAATTTCCGACTTTGTTTATTATAAGATTTATCATTTTTTTCTACCCTTCAGAAACTATTTACTACTTAATATTTTCACTTTTAGACTTTGATGAAGACGCATTTTTTTCACTGTAGATAAATTTACGCGAATCCAGTTCTAATGTAACTGGTCCCTATTATATTTAAAATAAAAACATTTTAGTCATAATGTTTCTATACTCGATTACAAGTTAATGTAATGTTTTACCTCATTTACAAGAGAAACATTCATCATAGCTCCAAAAACTCCATCTTAAATATTGCATCCAAATAAAAATATATATCTTGTTATGGTTTACTGGCAGTTTAAATTACTGTGCTTACAAAATACGATACCTTTAATTCTATCTTCAAAATATTCCTGTTTTATTCTATTTATAAAATTTGCATACATTTCCTTCGAAAATTCCGTTTTCATAGAACGATGAAAATCAGGCTTGTTCCCTAAAATATATGAATCGTAATGTTTAACGTTATTGTTATATTTAATTTTTAACGCGCAAATGCAAGAATATTAAGATTATCATGCCTTTCGTTACATCCCCGTATAAAGTGAATTGGGAAACTTTGGTATATCAAAATTTATTACCATTACTGAACAAATCGGTACTTTACAAATTATAGATAATATACCGATACAATATATTACTAACCACATAAAATTTCTAATCCCATGTCTTTAACACTTCTTGCCCACATCTTTTTTCCAGTTTCATCTTCAAACACTCGAACATTAAGAATTTTTTTTATAATATACTCTAAATCTTCTTCAGTGTCGTCAGCTGCAATGCCAAGAAGGACGCAAAGCCCTCGATTGATCGACGAAATTTGGCTGTCATTTACTAACAAATGTTAGAACTTACAATGATTTTAGCCTTGTGCAGATTCATACAAAAAATATGTTACTTGTAACGCTAGCGTTTAGAACTCGTTGAAGTACCGCGCGCATTCTTCTCTCAACCTCAGTATTGCTATACGTATAGATTAATAAACCTATCCTAAAAAAAATAAAGATAATCTTTAATTTTGGCCAATCAAAGTTCTTGCCAATCAATAAATAAAATTCATACGCGAAACTCGTCTTCTAATACTAACAAACAATGAGTACGCCGGATTTACAAATTATCCAACAACGTATCCAAGATACAGTTGAGGTTCTTAATAATTTCAATAAGCAGGGCGATAAGGAGCGGTTAGAAAATCCAATCTCTTTTATATTTAATTTTAAATATATTTCATACCTGGACTCCATTTAAAATCCTTGAATCAATTCAGAGGGCGTTCCTCCTACATAGAGCAATTAATAAAAGATATGGCGATATATTATGGTTATTCAGAATTCCTTCTGGAAAAATTATTTCATTTATTTTCAGTTTCAGAGGTTTCCTATAAAGTTTATCGATTAATTTTCTGCAT